GCAGCAGATGTGCTAGCCGAAACACACCAGAAGGAAACTGAGGTTCATATTCCCATGCAAAGAATAAAAGAAGTACGAAACCAGACCAAGACTCTTCTAGCAGACTTTAGCACAAAAACAAAAGAGGCCTGCATGTCAGAAAGGTTTACCATGCAAGAGCTGGAAGTTGGAATTGGAGAGTTGAAAATGAAGAAAGCCCCAGGGGCTGACGGCATTACAAACGAATTTCTCTCTCATCTTGGACCTGCTGCCAAGAAGTTTCTCCTCTGCATCTACAACCAGAGCTGGCAAAAAGGGGTAGTACCGTCAGCCTGGAAGGTAGCCCTCATCCAACCTATCCTTAAAAAGGGTGGAGACAGAAGAGACCCAAAAAGCTACAGACCTATTAGCCTTCTTAGTTGTGTAGGAAAATTGATGGAGAAATTAGTAAATAAAAGACTAATATGGTTCCTGGAGACAAACTTAGTAATCACCACTACCCAGACAGGATACAGACAGCACAGAAATACAGAGGACCAGTTGACATATCTGTCACAGGAAATTGAGAATGCCTTCCAGGAAAAAAAGAAAGTTCTTGCTGTCTTTTTTGACCTCTCTCGTGCTTTTGATACAGTTTGGAAAGAAGGCCTACAACTAAAACTGCTACAGGCAGGAGTTGTGCACAACATGTACAAGTGGATCAAAGACTTTATTTTCCAACGCAGAGCCAGATTCAGAGTTGATGGACACATTGGCAAACTGACAAAACTTAGAGAAGGATTTCCACAGGGCAGTGCTATATCACCAACTCTGTTCCTGGTTTACATTAATGATATCACAGCAACCTGCCACCAGCACGTTTTTAATACCCTACATGCCGATGACTTTGCAGTTTGGACAGCCTCCGAATACACTACCACAGCCTCATATCTGTTACAAAAAACTGGAAAATGTAGAAGCCTGGACCGAAAAGTGGGGTCTAAAGCTAAATAAATCAAAAAGCACAGCATCACTTTTCTCTCTCTCCCCAAAAAAAGAAAAAAAAATCGAAATTTGGATTAAAAACCAGCTCATTCCACAGACCGACACTCCTACCTTTCTGGGCGTTACATTTGATTCGCGACTAACTTGGAAGTCACATGTAGAAGCGGTACAGGGAAAAGCATTCAAGAAGCTTTCAGTTATGAAAAAATTAGCGGGTACCACATGGGGCACTAACTCTAGAATCCTAAAACAAGTATATACTGGAGCAGTCAGGCCAGTCATGGAATATGCCTCCACTGCATGGGCTGCAGCAGCCAAGACAACAATGGGAAAACTGGACAAGGTTCAGAATATGGGATTAAGGATTGTTCTCGGAGCCATGAAAACCACCCCCATCAGAGAAATAGAAAAGATAGCAGATACTGAACCACTCGAACTCAGAAGACAATACAAAACTCTTTTACAGTATGAGAAATTAAAAAGACTTCAAAGTCACCCACTGCATTTTAAATTTCAAGAGAGAACAAAAAACAGACTGAAGCGTCAGAGCCCCAACCACCTTGCTAGAGAACTGTACAGACAGCACCAAGATCTGCTTGAAAGAGATGTTGCACTGTGCGAAAAACAGGCCAAACCATGGACAATCAAGCCAGAGAAAGCAAATGTAGTTCTAAAGGTACCAGGAATCACTTCAAAAGATGCCCAGACGGAGACACAACAGAGAACCCTGGCTCTTGCTATGCTTGATGAGAAGTATCCAAACACCACTTGGACTCAGGTTTTCACCGACGGCTCGGCTACAGATGCAGTCAGAAAGGGGGGTTGTGGAATTTACATTAAACCCCCTAGCAGTAGAGCAGAAACTCTCTACCAGCAGGTGACATCTGCACTAACTTCAGAGCTGAGGCAACTGCCCTCCTCTCTGCAGTCCAACATCTCATCACTCAAGAACACAGAGGGCACCAAATTGTTATACTTAGCGACTCATTGTCTGTTCTCCAAGCACTATCCAGCAAAAAACAAGACAAACTAATTGCTGATCTAAGGACCAACATTGGCTTACTCTCCAAGGAAGCAGAACTGGTCTTGCAGTGGATACCAGCCCACTGTGGTATTCAAGGAAATGAGAGAGCAGATGAGTTAGCAAAACCTGGGAGTAATCTTCCACAACCTCATCCACCACACAGCTACAAGGAAACCAAAACAGCGCTAAAGCAGTCTTTCAAGCGGGAGTGGAGAAGGCAGAATGGAGATTACAGACCAGAGAGTGACAGCATAAACAAACTCAACAGGAAAGAACAAACATCAATTCTTAGACTTCGGACTGGACACTGTGGTCTTCGAGCACACTTGTACAGGATAGGCATAAAAGAATCTGCTGCCTGTGATTGTGGAGCAGAAAGACAAACCCCTGAACACATACTGCGGATCTGGCCCAAAGGAGCCACATTGCAAGAGAAGCTATGGGGGACCGGTGGCGACCTTAAAGCACAATCCTATTTGTGACCCAGACGGGACTCAATGTTTAGCATGACTGATATCGAACACAGAAGAAGAAGATGCTGTTCAACCAGCATTTCAATTAGTTTGCCAGAGTTACGTTAATATATAACAGAGCTCAGAATAGCGTATAAAATGCAATCAGAACAACACTCATTACAAAAATCTTCATCAATGCTCTGTTAACTAATCCTGTGCGATGCAAGAACTTCATTCAGTCTACAAACAAAACAAAACTCACACAATGATCCATGCATTCAGACATCTATTTACCAACACACCTTTACCCCCAAAAGGAGACACATTCCTCCAAACAATACAATCTGGAGAGGTCTAGGGAAGTACTACTAGACTGTGACAGAGCTCAGAATAGCGTATAATAAACAATCATGTTTCAAGTTCATTGAAATAACTGTCCTCATTGCTCTACCCACAAAATATAGGGGACCAAGGGACTAACATCTTTGTCAGTTTTAACAATGTAACAGTTACATGTACAGGTCATGAAGACAAGTTGAGGATTTGTATTCTATTCAGAATGTCTGGTGAACATAGAGGCATAACAGAGACTTAAGTGCTATCATTTGATTTCACACCAGTCCACCCATTTACATTTTATTCTACAAAAGACAACTGTTGTAGAGATGGTGTCTCAGTTTATCCGAGTAATTCAGAACAAAACAAAAAAGAAAAATGCAAACTGAGCTTTACTAGTCAGGCTGTTCCAGACATTCAGAAATCATAAAATATATAGACTGCATTATAATGTAGCAGATCCTTGCCAGAATAGTGGATTCATCGTGGGCTGCCTAAAAGAAACTTCAGTCTGTCGCTACTCTCCATACTCATACACGTTCTTGCCCAAGATGTCTCTTACAGTTACATCCTGTGCCCATTTTCACGCTGGTCGGCCCCGCCCTTTTTAGGATGCCAGTATTTCTTTTTTTCTCACCGACACAAGATTAATGCCATACAATTTATACGGCTCACCAGGCTTTAGCAAATTAACAAATCTTGCCGCCCAACCGTCAAATTTTGCTTGGGAAATAACGGTTCTTATTTATATTTTATATATATATATATATATATATAAATTTTATACAACATCGACAGGTCATACTGTGGGTAACTTTTCTAAATGCCGCCACGGTGTGAACTAGTATTTTCAATTTGTTTGTGCAAAAAAGACACTGCCATTCTAGGTTCCAACAATATGGTGCCAAAGTGTTCGGCCCTCTTCTAGAGTATAGCTAATAAAGAACTGGACCCCTTCATTAGTGCCTTCCTTCCCGGTGGATGCCATATTATATCAACCCCAGAGCTGTGCTGGTCGGAAAAAATACAAACTGCTACTGCTGGTATAAACCTAGACGAATCTCTCAGCAGATGCTGCACTAGTCTAGTGGCCGACAATCTTGCCAGATGGTATATTTTTTTTAAACAAAGTGAACAAACTTCTATATCACAAGTTAATACCACATGTTTTGGGAAGTAAACGTCCAAACGAAATATGTCATACTGGCTCCAGGTTAGTCTAGAAAAATTAGGGAAGGACATCGTTCTTGGCTCTCCTCCAAACTTCATCCCCATATTATGGCAGCCAAATATCCTGAAAGGGCCTCAGTCGTGTGTAGAATTGTGGAATGCCTGCCGAGGAATAAATTGCGGCAAAACTAGGGTTGCCTCTAAAAAACGGGCCAATACTTTAGAGCGCAAACAACTACTCATCAGGGTCTCAGCGATATGTTAATTGCAAACCTCTTTCTGACAACTTCCGCACCGCCGAAAGTATCCCCGGCTTACTACACGCGGATAGGGAGGGCTAAACTAGATGGCTGGGACTCACGAGCAAATAAATTGGAGGAAGTTGCAGAAGATGAGGTAGCTGTTACTCGTGAGTCCCAGCCATCTAGCTTAGCTCCCCATCCACGCCGGAGATACACTCGGCTGTGAGTTTCACTAACCTACTTCCGACCGCCTGGTTTCCCCGCCATGTCACTATTATCGTGTGCATAGTTGTGTATAAAGTATAAAGAAAATTAGTATTTTAATTGATACAGTGAGCTCAGACACAGCCAAGGGGAAAGTATCATCAAGTTTATCAGATACCCAGAAAATGTTTCATCATTGCTCAGTAATATCCCGCTGCTATTATTCATACTTTTATTATGTTAATTATCACCATTAAGATCACTGCACACGGTGCAATCTGAGATAGTGAGCTTAGTTCGCTGATGCTGCAACCATCTCAAAGTGCCTTTAACAACTGTTCATATACTTTTATAATGCTTCTATTCTGACCCTGAATAACAGATCTCTTATTTTTTTATGATGCATCTAGAGGTTTTACTTCCATATCATTTGCGGGTTCAAGAAGCAGGCAGACTGTGCGTGTCGGCACTGGCTGAGTTTTTCCACAGTACCTATTTTAGGCTGGATCAACCTAAATACTAAATCTAGTGTTTTAACATACCTGTCTCAGACATGCTAAAGATCATGCATAATTAATCCTGACATGTTTTTCAACAATAACATACCAGTCTGTCTGTCCAACGCTTGAGTGAACTGATTTATTGGAGGTGGAACTTTGAGACGCTGGTAAAGGACTGCCTTTTGCCTCTGCAGGCGAATATACTTGGGCCATTTCACAAATCTGCTGAGGTCTCGCTTAGGCTGGATATCCTGGCCAATACCAAAATTCTTTGGCCTCTTCTCAAACAGTGGGTTAACAACCTTTTTAGGTTCAACCTTTTTGGCCACCAAAGGGGCCGCGGCCACCTTCTTCTTTCCTTTCTTGGGCTTGGGTGGCTGTAAAATATTAAAACGCACAGCTGTTGTAGAATCTAAATGTGGTTACATCAAACATTGCATGCATCAATCATAGTTAGTACTCATATAGAGGGTTCAGTTGAATATTATGTTATACAGAGAATTTACTTTTAATATATAATAAAAAAAAACAGACTTCAATGGTGCATTGTATGCCCATTCTAGGTTGAGAAATTGTCCATTTTAGTGCCAGAAAATAACCCCCAAAAAGTATATGTATATGATTTTCGGAATTTCAATTGCTATAAATCTTGACCACCATCTAGTCCTCCTTTTGTGTTTACTTTTTAAAATGAATTACGATTTACCCGTATTCGGTAATCAGGTAATCTTGAAATTCAAGATTACCAAATACGGGTAAATTGTAATTCATTTTAAAAAATAAACACAAAAGAAGGACTAGATGGTGGTCAAGATTTATAGCACCTTTCCAACATTAATAAGTAGTTTTCAATTAGTATTCACACACTTATCTGGAACCTGACTACTGAGAAAACAAATTAAATTCGAACATATTTATTTAGATATTCTACTTTTTTTAAACTCCGAAATATGCTTAACATAAATTTTGTTGTTTAACAGAAGAACAGCGCACCATTAAAATAATCTTGCATAAAGTACGTTACAATAAATAAGTCCGATTTAATCGGATTTAAAAGTCTACCACCAAAAAGAAAAACCTTTCAGAAAACGCACCTACCATGATTACAATTAAAACGGAAAAGGAATTCTTAGCAACAACTTCCGGCAGGTTCAGATTAAAAACTGTTATAGGACATTTACACGGGCAAAAGAAAAATCGGTCGATCGTCTCAGACATAAGTAGCCTACATTACAACAAATGAATACTCAAAATCCCCGTGTGGGTTCCGGGCCCCATTGTGGGGAAAACCAGAATAGACCCACTGCCTCCCCAAAAGCATGTCGTAAGAGTCGACTAATTGGGGAGCTTCCTTTGAAGTCGGAGTGCATCTGCCGGAGAGGCAAGGAACCAACAGTCTGTATTCAAGAGAATGAGATCTGTAAAACTGATGCACACGCAACACTCAGGTTCTGGAGCAGGACTGCAGTTCAGTAGTGGACGAGCAACCAGAACTTTCCGCCAGAGTGTACAGCTGGTGAACGCGAAGAAGAAGAAGAAGAATACTCAAAAGAGCAAAAATACCATCAATGTACTATTTACTGAAGCAAAGACGTCTGCCTAGCTGGGATATGTCTCCCGCATAGAAGATGGTCGTATTCAAAAGGACCTCCTGTATGTTAAACTGTAAACAGGGAATAGACCTCCAGGGCTGAAGCTACGTTATGAAGACATGCAAACGAGGCCTGATAGATAACAACCACGGCCGACTCTATTTATCTGGATAAGGCGGCGATACCAACATAGACTTGGGGGAAATCAGCTGCTGATCAAATCCTATGGCGACCGAAAGTGAAAGACGGATTGTAGAAATTGGAAATAAACCAAACAAAGTGAGTATAGAGAACAGATGCCAGAGAGAAAATCAGCCTCATAGCGAGGAAGTATCTACTTTCTAGTGTATCCTCGTTGGCAGAGACTGTCACTCCCACAATGGTCTTTACAGTCACGGCGGAAGCTGTTCCCAAAGAGAGCGTCACATCTCCATAATCCCTTGGGACTAATGGATGCCATTATAATGATTAACTACATTGCATCTCTGACACTGAGCTTCACGCCCCCTAAAACTGTTCGAATACGTCTTACTGGTGTTCTGTGACTTGCATCACTGTCTAAATTTGCTGAACTGTTTCTTCCAGTTTAGTTTTGTTACTGTTCTAGAGAAAAAAAAAAGACGAAGAAAAACTCGATTACGTTTAATCTGCTGTTGGCAGCAAGCCGTCAGCAGGCTCCATCTATATTCGTGGTCTGGTTTATTTGCGCCACTTTCGTGGCAAAGATTCTGGTCGAATTGTTTGTCCTTTTGTAGCGCACTCGGCCATATTTCAAATGAGTTTTTCATGTACGTTATCACCGATATAAATGGGGTAGATTGTGGAGTGGCAGATAATTTCTGAGCCACCAACTCCGAGATTCTTTATTAGCCCAGTTTAGGCTGACATACGCTTTATCAGTATCGCACGACTAGGACGTGTGGTAGGTGTATCGCCTGAAGATCCGTAAAACCAGCACAGTGCCTGCTGGTACTCGAGTTGGGATACGGGGTAGCTTGTTTTACACATCAATCGTTCTTTCTTCAAGAAAAAATAATTGAACATTTGACCACGTTTCATGCACATCACAGCAGTCCTAAGTTTTCCCCACGCCTGTAAAGAAATCACCCAGTTACAAATACAGTCTCTTATTATATATTTTCCATCCACAGTTCATAAATTCGCTGTCTCATTCACCATTTCTAGCATCTCACACCCCCCCCCCCCCCTCTTTCCCCATTAAAAAAACTATCGGTCCTTTTATGGAATGTCACCCCCATGTGGGATGCAATTTTTAGTTATTTGAAGCCCCACTTTGGCTTTTGCCAGGGGCCTTGAAAAAGCCGGGCCATAAGTATGGCCTAATGGCTGAAAGTTGTTTCTGGGACCTCACCACGGGTGATCCTCATCCGCATGGTGGCACTTTGTGTAATCGGGTGTCTATCGCTTTATGTGATGTCCTGGTGGGGTACAGCTTACATACATACAGACCTTAGTCATCTTACTTAACGCTGTACATGTATATAATTCTCATCTACGTATGTTTGTTTGCCTTATTTCTGTCTCCCTGTATTCTTTGGGTTGGCCACTCTGGCACACCAGGTAATGACAGAGCTAACAGATCGGCAAAGAAAGGAGCAAGACAAGAAGAACAACCCTACAGACAGCAAAAGCATTTATAAGAGCTATAAACAAAGAGATTTAGCTGAACAGATGGGCCATGAGAGATACTGGAAGAGAGGTTTACATACATATGGCTGGCCCTGATCCTAACGACAGCATAAACAATCTAACAAGAAAGGACTTGGCCACCATCTTTAGACTCAGAACTCAACACATTCCAGTCACTGGACATCTTAATAGAGTACAGCCACAAAACTCCCTAGAGTACCAGCTATCTTCTTCTTCTTCGCGTTCACCAGCTGTAAACTCTGGCGGAAAGTTCTGGTTGTTCGTCCACTTCTGAACTGCAGTCCTGCTCCAGAACTTGAGTGTTGCGTGCGCATCAGTTTTACAGATCTGATTCACTTGAATACAGACTGTTGGTTCCTTGCCCCTCAGGCAGATGTACTCCGACTTCAAAGGAAGCTCCCCAATTAGTCGACTCTTACGACATGCTTTTGGGTAGGCAGTGGGTCAATTCTTGTTTTTCCCACAATGGGGCCCCGAAACCCACACGGGGAAGTACCAGCTATGAAACCACCCTAATTAATCTCTTTGACCCCGTGTAGGTTTCGGGGCCCCGTTGTGGGGAAAAACAAGAATAGACCCACTGCCTCCCCAAAAGCATGTCGTAAGAGTCGACTAATTTGGGAGCTTCCTTTGAAGTCGGAGTGCATTTGCCGGAGAGGCAAGGAACCAACAGTCTGTATTCAAGAGAATGAGATCTGTAAAACTGATGCACACGCAACACTCAGGTTCTGGAGCAGGACTGCGGTTCAGTAGTGGACGAGCAACCAGAACTTTCCGCCAGAGTGTACAGATGGTGAACGCGAAGAAGAAGAAGAATCTCTTTGAGTGTCCCAAACTCAGCGAGACTAGAAGAATGCTACTCCCTCCGAGACCAGACAAGTGGAACACCTTGTACGGAGCAAAAAAGCAGATTTTGAAAACATGTAAATTCCACTACGTGGCAGTGCAAATGTGGACAACGGGCGCAAGCTCATGCGCCGCTGGATCGATAACAACAATAAAAACAGCAACAACATATTCTTTGCGTTCCACTGCAGACGTATTCTAGTCAGTGCTTGACTGAGGCATACGCTAACTAAGCTGCAGCATAGAGCATCAGAATCTGCAGCGGCTTTTACAAATTCAAATTCTTTGTTCAAAATGCAATAGTTTTTACAGTTAGTAAGTTGTACCCCACCAGGACATCACACAGGCGATAAACACCCTGTGATACAAAGTGCCACCATGCGGATGAGGATAACCCGTGGGGAGGTCCTGGAAACCCCTTTGAGCAGTTAGGCCATATTTAATGCCCGGGTTTGTTTGGGGGTCCCAGGCAAAAGCCAGGATGGGGCTTCAAAATAACTAAAAATTGCATCCTACAAGGGGATGACGAGATATTAAATGTTAGGTCTTTACATAGAGCTTTTAAGAGGATTGTGTAATACAATTGTTGTGATTTTGTACACACATAATTTATTATAACTTTCACTTAAAATTAAACGACAGTATATTTCTATCATCTATATATTTAAAGGAAGTATATACGACAGATCCAATTTTGCCATCTCGTTGGAATGCAGAAAGATTAAATACCAGCACAAGCACTACATCTCAGAAGATCAGTTACAAGATCAATAGGATGGCTGCGAAAATATGGATCGACAGCATTAAAGACACTGAACGCCTTCACGGTGTGACAATAACCAGTGACATCCAGCGTGCAGTGGATAGCAATTTATTCCTCCCTACCACGCTTATAGGCAGATTTGTTTTATGGTGATGATATCAGCCCACTAGGGGTGCATGGTCTCGAGGTATGGCGTCCGCCTCAAGTGCTGGAGGTCTCGGGTTCAGAAACCGATGAAGGCTTTGATTTTTTCACGTGGACTTCTAGTAATTTTCCCTGGTCTATGTGTAGTGAGATCGGACGCCCGTGTGCATTGCTGCGCACGTAAAAAAATCCCTTAGCAGTTGGAAATCAAAAAGAGTAGCCTAACGGCGTTACCCGGGCAAAATTTTGATTTGAAAGCCTACCCAAAGTATTTTAGTATCCTTGCCGCTGCTACAGAGACTGTGCACTGTGCGGAGCATCTTCGAACTCAGACTTAAGTTAGAAGAAGAAGGAAGCACTTATGGATTACTACTCGATAAGGTTTGGAAGGGGCTTTTGAAGAAATTGAGAAACTATAAAATAAATGGAAAAATGTACAATTGGATTAAAGCATATCTACATAACAGAAGAGCCCGGGTACAGGTAGATGGTTTTAAAAGTAAAAAAGTTCTACTGCGACAAGGCGTCCTTCAAGGTGGTGTCCTGTCGCCCACACTTTTCCTCTTATTCATCAACGATCTGGTTGCTGAGATACCAAATGGAACCAAAATGGCAATGTATGCCGACGACCTGGCACTGTGGTG